GTGGAATACTACTAAGCAACAACAGGGAATGAACTACTGCTACATCTGTTAACCAGGATCAACCTCAGGAATATGTTGTGAAAGAAACCTCACACAAATGAGAACACAACTCTACAGCTACAGTTGTAGGAGTTTCTAAAACAGGAAAACTATGATGGTTGAAAAAAATCAGAATAGTGTTTGTCTCTGGGTGAGGTGGGGGATGGTGATTGATTAGCAGGGCATGAGAGAAATTTCTGGGATTATGATAGCGTTTTAGTTACACCCAATGTACATATTTGCCAAAAATCAACAAATATAAATTTAAGATGCGTGCCTTTCATTGTATGTAAATCTCACATCAAAAAGAAAAATCGTAGCAAATGTTTAACAATAATATCTGTAATATGTGCACATGACCCTTGAACAATGTGGGTTTGAACTGAGCAGATCCACTTATTATCACAGATTTTCCTATGCTTCTGCCACCCCTGTGACAGCATAAACCACCCCTTCTCTTCCTCATCCTTCTCAGCTGACTCAATATAAAAGACTATGAGGATGAAGAACTTCATGATGATCTACTTGCATTTAATATGTAGTAAATATATCTTCTCTTCCTTACATTTTTCTTAATAACATTTTCTTTCTGGCTTTATTGTAAGAACACAGCATATAACATATAAAATATACAAAATATGTGTTGACTGTTTATTTTATCGTAAGGCTTCCTATCAAAAGTAGGTGATTAGTAGTTAAGTTTTGGGGAATCAAATGTTATACTTTTTATTGTACAAGGCTGTGGGGGAAGGGTTGATGTCAGTAACCCCTCTGTTGTTTAAGGTTCAAGTGTATAGTTTGGAGAAGTAACCTGATTTCTTTAATTTATTTTGAAATGGGTCAACAAAGTCAGATGGATTTCTGGATAAAGAGATGGAAGATAAATGTTGCATACAAAATTAGTATAAATAAAATGTTATTGGGAGAATTTATGAGATGAATAAATCTATGTGTTTGACTTCATTGTATGTTTAAAATTTTTTTCATATAAATCATTCTTTATTTAAACATATATTTTATACATAAGATATGTATACTATGTCACATATATAGTGTTATGAAGTATATACAATGTATTATATATATAAATATATGTGTGTATTTTATTGAACACTTTTCACATACTAGGCACTCTTCTAAGCTCTGAAGATTTAGACATAATTCATGTCAAATTCTTGGCTTGATAACCATCTTGTTTTTTGTTCTACCTCCATTTCCTCATCTGTGAAGCAAGAGAAAAACACAGTCTACATTGTAGGATTGTTCTGAAGCTTAATTAAGCTAATATTTGTAAGTGCATAGTAGAGTGGCCAGCAGAGAATAAGGTTTAGTTTTCATTATTTTCTATTCTCATGCTGCATTATGTAACATTTTGGGGACAGGTTCTGAAATTAGATTGGTCAGGCTAAAATTCCAGTTAACAATCCACCACCTGAATGACCTTAGACCACTTATTTAATCTCTCTGGGATTTTGCTTTACTGTCTGTAAAACAGGAATAATAAAACCCATATCATGGTGTTAATGAAGATTAAATATTGTGATATTTGTACAGCATAATTGTCTGGCATATGGTAAACACTATATAAGTAATATATAGTGTATAATAATATATATTATTTCCACATTGAAAATTTCTAATTATTATTGAAAATATAAAAAGACACATGTTTGTATTTATTGCAACATTGTTGTTAATGATTTTTTTTTTGTTACTTGTTTAAGAATTCCTTCTGTTATAACTCAGCTTATTGTCTTTCTAGGGATATCAGTATACCACATACTAAATTCAGTTTGCTCTGGGGGGGGGGTTGGGTGGAGGGTCAGAAGGATTGTAGCAAACAGCTGGCCCAGTGAGGGCCACACATATCTGATATTAGGTGTTATTATATATGCAAGTAACTTCAGGCTATGAAATTTTTTATAGTAAAATGTTGGAAAAAATTAACTCAAGAAATTAGAAAGTGGGGGGCAGAACAAGATGGAAGACTAGAAGGATCATTCAGGTGAGTGACCAGAAGGATCAGAGCTCAGGGAGCATAGTGAGGAGGTGGTGGGTTGGATACAGCATGTGATTCAGAGAGGTAGAAATCTGATGCATTAGGCAAGTGATTGCAACCCCAGGATTGGCTGCCCCCCCTACAGAGGTCTGGGGCAAGAGGAAGCCTTTCCAGAGTTTTCAGTTTTGGGGAGGGAAGCTATGCATTGAGTGGAAAGTTTGGAAGAGTGGGTGGACTTGAACAGTATACAGCAACCAGATTTGAATACTTGTTGGAGTGGTTTTGACCTCAGTTTGGTAACTGGCAAGAGAGCCATATTGGGAAGGCCTCAGCAGCCAGGGGTCTATCATTGTGGGAAGGTCATGAGAAGATCTTAGCAGGGGCCTAAAGCATTGCTGTCTTAATTCCTCCTTCTGGGATCAGAACTCTATTCTCGGGACAGGCTGAGGGACTTGCACACCCCATGGGAACTTTGGTCATGGGGTACTGTGAGACTTGTCCCTAAGAGGTTCTGGAGAGCTTTAAGATCCCAACCCTATGGGGCATGAATGCTGAGGAAACAATCAGGAGATCACCAAAAGTAAGTAAATTAGGAATAGGAACCACAGAGGTTGCCCACTGTGTTCTGTCTCCTAAAAAAAACACAGTGCCACTTGGTTTCCCAGTGACATATTGCAACATATATGTTCCTATTAATGTTGGTACCCATATATATATGTGTGTGTATATATATATATATATGTAATGTATGTGTGTATATATATATAGTATATGTATACATGTAATTTTTTTTAGTAATTATATTTATTTTTTAAATGTTTTTACTTTATTTTCATTGTTTTTCTCCTCTATGTTGCTGAGGTTGCTGCCGTTTTTGGCTATTTGAGCATTTTTTGTTTTGTTGTGTACTGTTTTTGCTAATTTGTTTGGTTGGTTCTATCCATAACTTCCCTTTTTATCTTTATCAAGAGCAAGGCCTCCTATATTTTTGGTAATGGTATTTTAGCCTCATTTATTTTATCTCTCTATTTCACTCATCTTCATTCTCTCTTTTAATAGAGACTCTTCTACTTTCATTATCCCACATAAATTGCTTGTGCAACAGCTAAGCTATTGCCTCCTTTTTTTGGTCTTCTTTCTTTCCTTTTTCCTTTTCCCTCTCTTTCCTTTATTTGATACAACTGCATTTTTAATTTTCTTTATCTATTCTTATTTTTTTCTTTTCTTTTTCATCTCTTCTTTTTTTTTTTTTTTGCTTAGTGCTGGTGTGGCATGACTGTGGTCTTGTGGGGATAATATGGCAGTAGGAGACTCAAGGAGACTAAGGAACTCAAGGAACTCAAGGAGACTAAGAGATCATGGTCTGGGAGTCCTTCTACCATTGGCCCTAGGAAGATGGTATTGACAACTCCATACTAAAGAATTTTTCTATTTCTTTTTCATTTTTATTTATTTTTTTCCTTCTTGCTTTCTGTCTTTGCTCCTTTATTCCTGTCCTAGTTTGGGCAGGGGAAGAGTTTGACTTTGCTTGGGCTGATAATGAACTCCTGATTTCAAGGAACCCACCCAAACCAGCACCTCAAAAATCTTTGAATTACTGTCATGGCCTTAACACCATATCAATCAATACCATTTCTTCTATCATTCTCATTCTTTCTTCCTGTCCTGACTTTCCTCTGTTCTTTAATTCTATTCTTTCATCCCAGTTCCCTTTTTTCTTTTTCTTTTCCTCCTTTCTTCTCTTTCCTTCTTTCCTTCTTTTCCTCTTATTTCTCTCTGTTTGTGCTTTACCCTACCCCTCCTTTTGACTTAGGCTCTGAAACAAGGTAATTTGAAGCAAAGGTGGAAGTGAGAAGTAAAAAGGAGATAAGGAGGTATATCCTAAATGAATCCCAAGCAATAAAAAAAAAAAAGAAATTAGAAAGTAATGACAAAATAAAATCAATCAAAAATATTTGCTAAATGTGAAAACTGAAATCAATAATTTCAAAACAGAAAAGTAATGGAGTTAATAAGTCTAAGAGCTACTTTAATAAAAGTGGGAGTAGATAATTGCAAGCATAATAAAGAAAATAAATAATAAGCAGAAATATACAAAATAAAAAAGATAATAGGAAATGATCATAGATACACAGACTTTGAGTTCTTCATCAGAGAATACTTCAACTCTGCAAATAAATTTGATAATAAAGACATAATGTGTGCTTGCCAACAAAAATAGAAAATTTCAAATATGACACCAAAAAAAGAGAACCTTATTAATCATGTATTTAAAAGCTTTGTATTGTTTTATTTGGCATTTTTATGTGTTCTATAATGAGAAAGTGTTTTTAGATACATGATCTACCATATTGTCGTAAATAGAAGTCTGTAAAATCTCTTATAAACTACAAAAACTCCATAAATATAAGACACAGCAAATAAGCCCATAGACCATAGTCATTTGTGAACACTAATGCAAAATTTTAAATAAAATACCAGCTGACAGACTCTTTTACCAATAATGCTCAGATCATTCAATAGTAGGAAATCTATTATTGCATTTCTATGGATAAACATATTAATCCCACTATCATCTCCATATATGCTAGTTATATAATGTCCATTCTAGATAAAGAAGTTTAAGTACTAAATACTAAAAATAGTTACTTCTTAACATGAATCACAAATTATCTATACCTGTCTATATATAGATATATAGAAAGAGTGTATGTAGGTTTGTATGTTATGAGTGAATGTATACCAGTTTATTGCCAATGGAATGTAATTGAAAACATTGTTTTTAAAATCTGAACAAGAAAGCATGGTCTCTGCCAGCAACCTCATTTGTTCTATAGGGAATGGTCCTCATGCAGTTAGGTGACAGAAAAAAATGTCATTTAAAGAGGCAAAATTGGTTTTACAGGTAACATTTACCTTTAAAACTCATCAACTTTAAAGTATATCTCTCCCTCTCCCCGACATGGCTTGTGCCTGTGCACTGATAACAGTGTACTCTGAAAAGGGGGAGTCATCTGGCAAAAATGTCACTTTGCCTGCTGTCTTCAAGGCTCCCATTTGACCAGATATTGTGAACTTTGTTCACACCAACTTGCGTAAAAACAACAGACAGCCATATGCTGTCAGTGAATTAGCAGGTCACCAGACCAGTGCTGAGTCATGGGGTACTGGCAGAGCTGTGGCAAGGATTCCCAGAGTTCCAGGTGGTGGGACTCACCATTCTGGCCAGGGTGCTTTTGGAAACATGTGTCGTGGAGGCCGCATGTTTGCACCAACAAAAACCTGGCGTCACTGGTACCACAGAGTGAACACAACCCAAAAGCAATACACCATCTGCTTTGTCCTGGCTGCCTCAGCTTTACCAGCACTGGTCATGTCTAAAGGTCATTGAATTGAGGAAGTTCCTGAACTTCCGTTGGTGGTTGAAGATAAAGTTGAAGGCTACAAGAAGACCAAGGAGGCTGTTCTACTTCTTAAGAAACTTAAGGCCTGGAATGATATTGAAAAGGTCTATGCCTCTCAGCGAATGAGGGCCAGTAAGGGCAAAATGAGAAACCATCATCGTATCCAATGCAAGGGACCCTGCATCATCTATAATGAGGACAATGGTATCATCAAGGCTTCCAGGAACATCCCTGGAATTACTCTGCTTAATGTAAGCAAGCTGAACATTTTGAAACTTGCTCCTGGTGGACGTTTCTGCATTTGGACTGAAAGTGCTTTCCGGAAGTTAGATGAACTGTATGGCACTTGGCGTAAAGCTGCTTCCCTTAAGAGTAACTACAACCTTCCTGTGCACAAGATGATGAACATAGACTTTAGCCGAATCATGAAAAGCCCAGAGATCCAAAGAGCTCTTCGTGCACCACACAAAAAGATTCATCGCAGAGTCCTGAAGAAGAATCCACTGAAAAACCTGAGAATCACGTTGAAGCTAAACCCATATGCAAAGACCATGCACCGGAATACCATTCTTCACCAGGCCAGGAATCAACAAACTCCGGGTGGATAAGGCAGCTGCAAGACTACAGAACAAGTCAGATGAGAAGGGGGTTGCAGGCAAGAAGCCTGTAGCAATGAAGAAGGGGAAAAAACCTGTTGGAGTTAAAAAGCAGAAAAAGCCTCTGGTAGGAAAAAAGGCTGCCTCTACCAAGACACCAGCAGCTGAAAAGAAGCCAGCAGAAAAGAAACCTACCACAGAAGAAAAGAAGCCTACTGTATAAACTCTTTTAATGTTTATTCCATAAACGTCAAATCATTTTGGACAGTTTATTTTGAATAAAGACCTGAGCAAAGAGTCAGTGAAAAAAAAAAAAAAAAACTTTAAAGTATATCACAAATAAAAATAATAAGGAGAATTCAGAAGAAAATCTGGGTAAAAAAGTTAATAGGCTTTAGGTAGTATATATTATAACCAACAACCTAACAAAAATTACCTAGAATGGATAGTTTAAAGAATAAACCTAATATAAACTTTAAAATTATGCTGATGGGCACAAGGACTTTAAAAGATGAATATACAGTCCAATCCTAAATAAGAAGACAATATTATAAAGATATTAGTTCTCCTTAATATATTTTAATTTAATTTTTTCCCAACAAAACTGCACACAATATATTTTTTTTAACTACAAGAGATGATTCTTAGTTCATGAGAACATACAGAGGAAATTGCTGAAACATAAACATAATGAGAAAAGCAGAATTTATGGGATACTATGACATAACTAGTAAGTTACATTAAATAATTCATAAATCGGTAGACACCAGATCCATGATGAGTAGAAAGATCAGTGGAAAAAATGCTACAAAATCCAGAATAATGCAAATAGAAAAATAATAGTAACTAATTTACTTAGAGTTTTATAAACCAAACAACACTAAAACTTTTTACACAATTTTTATCATGCATTTATATTATCAACAATTCTGTGGCATTGTTAATATTTTTATGCTCATTTGTTGGATGAGGGAGTTGAGGCAAAAAAATTAAATAATTCATTCAAGTTTATGCCACTAGTAAGTGGAAGAGCTAAGCTTCAAATCCAGAGCCCACACCCTCAAATACTATGCCTTGCTCCCTAAACACCTGGGAGAATTTAGTATATGATAAAAGTATACTTCAAGTCATTGGGGAAAACATAGATTATTCAACACATCATACCTAGTTAAAACATAAAGTTGGGATGGTGCCTGTGGCTCAAAAGGGTAGGGCGTGGGCCCCATATGCCAGAGGTGGTGGGTTCAAACCCAGCCCTGGCCAAAAAACAAAACGTAAAGTTGAATCCCTACCTCACTATTAGAAATATTTTTATCTGTGGATAAAATATTAATTATAAATCCTCAGATAAAATATTTAATACTTAAGTAAATAAAAATTACAATAAAGATCAGGGATATCATTCTGGTATTAATTTTAATAACAAAATTAAGATAACCATTAAAGATTGAGTTATACATTAGAGTCAATCCATCCTCTGGAGTACGACATGGTTATTTTAAAAAATCAGGGCTATATTATTTATTTCAGCAATAGAAGGGTATGCAAACTACACCACTGAGCATAGAAAGGAAGAGAGCACTGTGCGCAGTATTCTATCCTTTGTTTTAAATAAGTGTGCGTAGCGTGGGTGCATATGATGCATAAATGGATCAGAAACAATCTCTAAAATATACTCAGGAATTGGGCCACAGGGATTGCCCACTGGGAAGAGAAAGTGATGGCTAAGGTCCAGGGCCAGAGGGACTTAATTTTCACTATCTATCTTCTTGTACTTTTTGAATTTTTTACAGTGTGCATGTTGTTAACCTAGTCATAAGTAAGTTTTAAAACCATCAACCCCCAATGAGGATATCTTAATCACCCCCTGTCTACTGCTGTCTTTGCTAATTGAAGTAAGCAACTTCATGAAAACACAAAGAACAGTGATGTTTACAAGTACAGGACAAAAAGCACTTCAATAAATGGATCTTTAGGGCCTACTTTTGTGCAGGACATCTTACCTTTTAACATCTTACCTTTTAACAATCTGTGAAAATTAAAGTCTTTGAGAAAGTCACACACATTTGAGACAAGAAAATCAATAAAATAAGGGTAATAACTAACACTTCTTTGGTTCGTGCAACATCTGTTCACTCATTTAACCCTTGCAGCAACCAGACATGTTGAGCATGCATATTGTTATCTTTGTTATTCCAAAGAGTAAACTGCATTTCCATTTTGGTTTACATCTCATAGCACTTCCATCAAATGGAGAGTTACAGAGTAGACAGGAGCAGACAACAAAGCCATCTGCTCACGTTTCCACAAGCCAGGCCTGGGGGTGGAATTTTCCTAGACAATAGGACTTCCTACAGCTGGAATGGTCCCAGAAGCACAAGGTCCTGCACAGGCATGAGATGATGGCCCCTGGAGTGGCTTGACATTAGCAAATATTAACACTGAAAAACAATGTTGCTGACAGTGTAGCTTCCTGCTTTCAACCAACTACTTTCCTGAGTATCCAGAGTGAGGGCAGAAATGAGGATTTATGCAGGACTGTATACAAATTACCATGTGGTGGGGGATGTGTGAAGAAGAGAAAGGGCAGTCAGGTAGTTGATTATTTTACAATGGTAACATTGTCACCCAGGGAAAGCTTGACATGTGACACTTTGGGAAAATTCTACCCAAAATATCTTTTCTTCATACCTATATCCTAAGTGACTAAAATTCCAATTGAAGCATTGCTGTGTATTGTCTGTCAGCTCCATTTTTTTTTTCAAGAAAATAGAATGAAATGTATACATTTGTCCTTCAGTATCATGGGGGATTGGTCCCAGGGCCCTCCTCTCGCGAGTACAAAAATCCACAAATGGTCAAGTCTCCTATATGAAATGAGGACTACACAAATTCTCTGGTATATTTTAAATCTATGTAAATAGTCGTTATACTGTATTGTTTTGTATTTGTATATTTTTTTGCTGTATTGTCCTTTCTTATTATTTTTCCTCCAATATTTTCAATCATTAGTTGGTTGAATCTGTGAATGTGGAACCACTGGATACAGAGAGGCAACTTTGAGTGTATGAGTGCATGTGTGTTTGTGAATGGTTAATACTGAATAATTAGAGTGGATTATTTTTAAAGAGCAGAAGTATGAAAGTCAGATATTTGCTCTAAACCTTACTATAACCCTTAAAAATTCTTTGTTACTAGGTTCGGTTACTTAAATGGAGGTTTCTCATCTGTAAAATGAAGCACTTAATTCTCATTTCATAAGGTTGTGGGAATTAGGCACACACACACAGAGACATCATTGATACAGAATCCAGTTAAATGTTCTGCTAACATCAGTTTACACACACAGAGACATCATTGATACAGAATCCAGTTAAATGTTCTGCTAACATCAGTTTACACACACACACACATCTTCCTACCTAATTAACCCCATCTTCCTGATAGGTGATTGAGAGTACTTTGTTGAAACCAAATGTGACCACCTTGCCTGGAACTGGCCCTTTGTGCAGTCACCACCCACACACTTGTTCAGCACACTCCTCTGAACCTTGACCTAGTCTCTACGTTACAGTTCACAGCATGGTGAGCCAATCTCACAGTGAAAAAGGACATTTCCTACCTTTGAAAAAAAACATGGGCAGAGAACCAGCAGACTTGTGGTGCCTTCCATTTCCCATCTGTAAATTTCTCTAACTACTTTCCAGTAAGCAACCTCTAAGGGCATGTAACGTAATTAATAATGTTAAGTGCCTCTGGCCTCAAGCATTTTGATGAAATGACTTCTTAGGAATGCACAGTTGTTGAATTATGAATGGAACACAGTTCAGTCGGTTTCCTTTTTATCCATATGCATGGTAGAATATTAGCAGGTTAAAGATTCAGTCAATCAACAAGTAAAAACAGTTCTGCTGAATTCCAGCAATAAAGTAATAGTGTTGTGGGGCTTAAAATCCAGCACCCTCTGGAATCTGGAGACCTCAAATCAGCAAGCCTATATGAATTAATATCACAGAGCAGGTCCTCTTAGAAATACTTTAAAAAAGGATTCTCAGTTTCATTTTTTGTCTGAAATGCCACTGTTGTAAAGTTGAATCTTTTTTTTTATTAAATGATAGCTGTGTACATTAATGCAATCATTGGGCAAAGTGTGGTGTTTTCATATACAATTTGAAATGTTTTCAGCAAACTGGTTAGCATAGGTAAAGTTGAATCTTAAAAAAAGTGTCCATCTGAATACCATTTTCTCTCTGTAAAGCTTGTTTCAACACTGTTCACCCTACTGGGGTGGTCATTTTGTAGAAATGAGATTCCTAAACCATCCACCCCTAACAACTTTGCCTTTCCCCTCCACTCCCCACCCACTTACAACAAACTCTGCAGGGTCCCGTCACCCAGAGGCACATACTTCCCGTGTTTCCTCCACTGTGGGTCAGTGGATTGAGATGGGCTGAGCCCACGTTCCAGCCAACCTCTTTATCAGCCTTCCCACTCCTTCCTCTGCCTATTCCTGCTGTGGCAGAGGTCTGGGCCAGCTTCCTGTAATCTCCTGGAAAGGAAAACATCTCCCTTCAGAGTGGTCTCCAAGCCTGCTTGCTGTGGATAACCAATTTCCTCCTCTCTTCTCACTTGAATTCATATAGCTTCCTTTGCTAACCTTGCTAACCCTTCTCCACCAGTGAGCTATCTGTCCCAGGCCTGAGGATTTCAGCATGCTCCTTCATTTCCTGCTGCCAGAATGCAGGATTTCCTGAACCAGGGGTTGTGTGACTGAGGCACTGCTGGGCTCCGTCCTGACTGCAGCTCACTGGGACCATCCTGCTCTCTGCACAGCACGTCATGTGTGTATCCCAGGGCACTGAGGTCTGTCCCTACTTCGATAGATCATTTCCTTCATTCCCCAAAGCTGAGCAAAGAGGAAAATCTTTCATCCTTCGAGTCCTCTAACCCCTACTCTCTCCCTGTTTTGATTTGGGAGGCAGTAGGGCTCTTTTTGCTTCAATCCCTAATCTGGGCTCTCTACCTGTAGCTCAGCGGCTAAGGAACCAGCCACATATACCAGAGCTGGTAGGTTCGAATTCAGCCTGGGCCTGCCAAACAACAATGACAACTATAACCAAAAAATAGCTGAGCATTATAGCAGTTACCTGTGGTCCCAGCTACTTGGGAGGCTGAGGCAAGATAATCACTTAAGCCCAAGAGTTTGAGGTTGCTGTGAGCTGTGATGCCACAACACTCTACCGAGGGCAATATAGTGAGACTCTGTCTCAAAGAAAAAAAAAAAAAAATTCCTAATCTGAAGGAT